AGATAGATAGATAGATAGATAGATAGATAGATAGATAGATAGATAGAATCCTGGAGTTAGAAGGGACCCCAGAGGCCATCCAGTCCAGCCCTTTAAGGGAAAGAATACATATAAATATATGTAGGTAGATAGATAGATAGATAGATAGATAGATAGATAGATAGATAGATAGAATACTGGAGTTAGAAGGGACCCCAGAGTCCATCCAGTCCAGTCCCTTAAGAGAAAGTATGTATGTGTGTGTGTGTGTACACACACACACACACACACACACACACACACACATATATACTAGCTGTCCCCTGCCATGCATTGCTGTGGCCCACTCTGTGTGTGTAAATATATGTTTATGTATGTGTATATATGTGTGTTTGCATATATATATATTTAGAGAGAGAGAGAGAGGTGTATATAAATGTGTGCATATATGTGTGTGTATATATATTTGTGTATTTGTGTGTTTATATGTGTGCATGCATATTGTGTATATGTGTGTGCTTGTCTATATTGCATATTTGTGTGTATATATGTATGTGTACAACTCCCAAATGTCAAGATTCTATTTTCCCCAAACTCTACCAGTGTTCACATTTTTTGGGCATATTGAGTATTCGTGTAGAGTTTGGTCCAGATCCATTATTGTTTGAGTCCACAGTGATCCTTGGATGTAGGTGAACTACAACTTCAAAACCATAGAGCACTGCCCACCAAACCCTTCCAGTATTTTAATGGCAGAAGTGTGTGCCAAGTTTGGTTCAATTTCATCATTGGTGGAATTCAGAATGCTCTTTGGTTGTAGGTGAACTATAAATCCCAGCAAGTACAACTCCCAAATGACAAAATCAATTTTTGTGTGTAAAGGACATACATTGGGTTGTTAGGTGTCTTGTGTCAAAATTTGGTGTCAATTCGTCCAGTGGTTTTTGAGTTCTGATAATCCCACAAACAAACATTACATTTTTTAGGGCAGTCAGGCCATTGTATGCTAATCAAGGTGGTCAGTTGAAACATTCACACCTAGCTCCAGCAGACAAGAGTCCTTTGTCTTGCCCTGGTCATTCCACAGATATATAAACCCCTTTGCCTAGTTCCAACAGACCTCAGTACCTCTGAGGATGCTTGCCAAAGTGCAGGCGAAACGTCAGGAGAGAATGCCTCTAGACCATGGCCATACA